TGGGAGGGATAGGGGAAAGGAAAGCAGGGAATGGAATTAATATGAGAAAATGAAAAAATGGAAACAAAGTCTTTGTAAATAGGGAGGGATGGAGAAGTTGAAGGGAGGGCAGGGGAAGGGGGAAAATTAGGAACCAAGAGATTACGTGAATGTCATTATATTGTATACCTAAAATATACCAAAAAAAAAAAAAGAGTAGATGATGATGGCCTATGGCCTACTAATTACATAAGAAGTTTAGAATTTTTTTCATGAAAATGACAAAGACCCACTGAAAGACTTAATTATGGCAGCTTGCTACATAGACTAATGGTCGGAAGGATGTGTGAATTTTCACAACCAGAAAGTAAAGTTGTAGATTAAAACAAAAGCAAGGTCAGAGCAAAGGGTGAGAAAACTACAAGAGATATTATAAGTCTTTCTTTTGAAAATTTCACACCTATTGGTCCTCTCAATATAAAACATCCCAGAACAGCAGAAGAAATTACTCGCACTTTAAAATACCTAGCCCTAAGTCTTCTCTCTTTCAATGTTCACTTGTATAACCAAGTGTCAAGGTTGATCATTAACCATGAAGAAACGAAAATCTACGGAACCCAACCACATTCATGTCTTACCAATAAGGAGTGCCAATGAAAGATTTCCTCTTTGCAATAGTAGCTGTTATTTTTGCAGCCACACCAAAATCAGCTGGTAAGGAGAACAATGGAAGAAAAAATTTTAGTTCTTCTCAATAAAACCAACATTTCTAAGTTTCATCCTTAGGCATAACATTTTTAACAATCTGGATATTAATGTCAGAAAAATGTGCATAAATCGAATCCCCAAATCTCTTCTTGCTAGGTTCATAACATACTCTAAAGATTTTACTGGAATTTCACTAAAATGAAAACATACCTTTTAAGAACAAAGTTAATAAAAATGTTTTTATCTTAAGTACACTGAAGTTAATTTGGAAAGAAAAAAGCAAAAATAAAACCCACAAGGAAAACATATATTCAAATTCCTTTGATCATAACACAACAAAGTATTTTGGTGCTATCTTTTCAAACATCTATTTTTGGGGCTGGGGATTTAGCTCAGTGGTTCTACCACCTGCCTCACAAGCACAAGGACCTGAGTTCGATGCCCGGTACCAAAAAAACAAACAAACAACAACAACAAAAATCTTTCTTTTGTATTTGTAAATCGTTTGTGTATTGTTAAATGTGATAATAAAAATAAAAGAATTTTGCCAGTTAATACACTAGGTGATTTTATTCTCATATATTCTTCATTAATATTAGTAACTTACTAATATGATATAATAAATTGTAGTTTAAGTTTTTCTATTGCTAGATTTTGTATTTTTTACTACATACTTCTGTAAGTATGGATTTTCCACCATTAAGATTAATTTCCTTTACCTGAGCCTCAGGAACAAAATTACTGTGTCAAAGGGTAAACATTTATGATTCTAGATCAATATTAAAATTGTATATTTGTTAATTCTCATTTAAAATTTTATTAGTATTTTTAAAAATTTAAGAACTTGATATAACATACCTAATTTTATATCACCATGGTCTGTCAATAAAATATTTGCACCCTAAAACAAAAATACCAATACTATTAAATTAGCTCATAAATTTTCTTCTAAATGAATTAGCAACTTAAACATATTAAATGAACTTACTTTGATATCTCTATGCATTTTGCCTTTAGTATGCAAATAAGCAAGACCCTGAAGTTAAAAAAAAAAAAAGGTATTCATTAGCAAAGCTGTAAACTTGACTCCTAAATTCTCCACTTAAATTCCTATTGATTAATAAAAACTAGACTGTCTTCTCTAGGGGAGATAAAACTTAGAAGAGTTTCGTTTTACTAATCAATGTATACTGCATCTTAGAAATTTCTAATAATGAACATATTTACCACCCCCTAAAATTCCCTTCTCTTGTGCCCCTTTATAATTTCTCTTTTTTCCAGAAACACTGATCTGCTTTCTGTCACACTACATCAATTTTCAATTTTTTTTGATCACTAGGTGCTTTGCATTTTCATAATGATTTTAGAATCAGCCTGTCATTTTCTTCATAAAAGGAAAAAAAAACCTGCTTGAAGTTTGAAAGAAATTTGGAAGAATTGTGTTGATAAATTCACAAAAATCCAGTTGACTTTTGCATATAGACAGATCTTGAATCTTGTAACTTTTCTAGCCTTACTTAAAAGTTCTAATAGCTACTTTAGAGACTATTCCATTTTCTACGTAATCTGCAGTCTTGTGAATACAATTTTACTTTCTACTTTCAAAACTATCTATCTTATTTCATTGTTTTCTCTCTTTGTACCAGTTGAAACCTCTAAGACAATGTTGAAAAGCAGTTGCTAATGTTGCCTTGTTTATCTTGGGAAAACATCTTGACAGTCTTTGAAGCAAGATTTAGTTGAAGGTTTTTCATAGGTGCTCTTTACTGAGTTGATCAAATTCCCTTCTAGTCTTTGTGTGCTCAGAGTTTTTGAAAATCAGGAATGCTGAAATTTGCTAAATGTTAATTCATATAATCATGGGTTTTTTTTTTTAGTTTGTTAATGGCCAATTCAAATGATTTGTGGATGTGAAGTGAACAATGCATTCTAGGACAAACTCCACTTTCTATATGTTATAGTTTTGATATATTGTTGGATTATCTTTGCTAACTTATTAAAATTTTTGTTCATATTTACTTGTTGCTGTATGGCTTTTATGTATTATACTCTAAGTATAATTACTTTCAAATGATATGATACCACTTTTGTATAAGAACCTATAAAAGTATACTTCCATCTCCCTCTTCGGTTCTACACACTATCATTCTCATTTTGTTTATACGTATGTTATAAACGTCACAATACACTGTAACTAGTTTTGTTTTTAAAATCTTTAAAATATATACCTAATTTTGAAAACCCCTATATATTTACTTACATATTAAACCACATAGTTACCGTGGGTAAAAACACACTCCATATTTTTTAGCAGATCTGTATTTTTGTCTGATACCATTTTAATTCTGCCTGGAGGACTTCCACAAATATTTCTCATAGAATGGGTCTGCTTGGGATTAGCTTCTGTAAGTTTGCAAAGCCCTTTATTTTGTCATTGTTTTTGAAAAATATTTTCTCTAAGCTTGATGGGAAAGTTCAGCTTTTTCACTCTTTTCTCACTTGCATTATTTCCAGTAATACAACATTATCGTTTCCTTTATTGTCTTGTATATGTGGTCTTTTCTTCTGTTTCTAATATTTTTCTCATCAAATGAGTAATGTAATGATGATGTGCATCAATGTGGTTTTTGTCATGTTGTCTGTACCTAGACTTTGTTGAGTGCTTTGGATTTGTGGGTTAGGTTTTATTAAATTTAGAATTCCTTCAGCTATTAGTATTTTTAAAATATTGCTTTGTGTCTCTTTTCTCTCTTCTCCTTCAGGAATACAATTTATACGTATATTAGGCCATCTGAAATTGTTCTACAGCTTAGTGATTTTTTTAAACTTTTTGAGTCAAAGTTTTATTATGTTGCCTAGGCTGGCCTCAAACTCCTGAACTCGAGATCCTCTTGCCTCAGTCTCTTGAGTGGCTGGTACTATAAGAATGTGCTATCAGTTTATATTTTTAGAAAATTCATTTTCCCCACTTTAGTTTGGATATATTTTCTATTGTTATATCCACAATTTCACACAAATTAATACCTAAACTGCCATTAATCCTATCCTTTAATTCCATCACACACTGTGATTTTTAATCTCCAAAGTTTGATCTAGGCTTTTAATAGCTTCCATACCCCCACTTAATTTGTTAAATATTTCAAATATAGTTATAACTGTTTTGCTGTCCTATTCTGCTAATTTTAGCATCTTTGTCAGTTGTGGGTAGGCTTTATTGATTTTCTCCTTATTATGCTTCTTTGCATACCTTCTAATTTTTTTTTTTGTACCATGGATTGAACTTGGGACCTTGCGCTTGTGAGGCAGGTGGCAGCACTACTGAGCTAAATCCCTGGCCCCCCTATACCTGGTAATTTTTGATTGTGAACTGTACTCTTTCGAGTACTGCATATTTTGGATTTTAAAAAAATATTCTAATACTTTCCAACACTCTATCCTCAAAAGCCTAGCTGCCTTGGTCTCCCTGGACCCACCTTGGGCTCTCCTCCCTGTACCATGGCCTGGAAACTCTCCCTTGGCCATAAGCTGAGACAATAACATTTTCCTTCATTTCCTCTCTCTGACCTTGCTGTCCTTCATTACCTGATGTCCAGTTTCTTGAAAACCACAGTTACAAGTATTTTGCCTATTTTCTTTGTTTCATGTAGCATGGTAAATGACATTCCCTGTTACTCTGTATTGCCAAAGACATGGAAGTCTGTTAGAATGACAGAATTTAAAGACTGAACTAATCTTGGAGGCTGTCCCTTACAAAGCCTCATTTTATACTTTGGGAACTAGAACCACATAAGAAACTAAGGTCATATAACAGGGCTTAAGTATAAATCCAAGTTGTTTTTTTCACTTTCACAGAGCATACAAAAGGTTATTATGCACAGTCTTCTGTCCACTGCTTAAAGAAAGTGAACTCTTCAAATTAAAATATAAAGAAAATGACTTTGTCAATAATTCTCTGCCATGAGTACATAATTGAGTCAATACACTTCTACATTATGTAAATACTGTAGAAAGATATACTTGAAAATATATTTAGCTAGGCCTCTGTAGTTTCTGTATCCATGGATTCAAACAATCATGAATTGAAAATATTTAAGAAAAAATACTGTAGAAAGATATACTTGAAAATATATTTAGCCAGGCCTCTGTAGTTTCTGTATCCATGGATTAAAACAATCATGAATTGAAAATATTTAGGAAAAAACTGTCTGCAGTGAACATACACAGACTTTTTCCTTGTCACTCTTCAATGACATAATGATTTACATGCTTACACTGCATTGGTTATTATAAGTAATCTAGAGATGAACCATACAGGAATAAGCTATGTGCAAATATAATGCCATTTTATATAAAGAACTTGAGCATCCGTAGGTTTTGTTATCCACAGAGGTCCTAGCAATAACCACCCATGGACATGACTTATACACACAAACACATAGATATTGGAGGATTTGCTTTTATTTGTTTCACAGTAAAACTTGCCATGATATGTTTTTTAAAGTAAAATGACCAGACTTTTCTATTAGATCTGATCAATTGCCTACTTTCTAAAATACTTAAGGACCAAATACAGAACATCAGTTTCATCTCTAAAGAAACTATACAACCTAGGAAGTATACAGATAGAATTATCAGTTAACAATTATCAGTTGTAAATTACCAAAAAACAAAAACAGAAACAAATCCACAATTACTACTACTTAATTGCACCTCGTTTAAATGCCTTAAAGCATATGAACAAAATTGTCAATTGCTAATTTTTTCAATGAGTAGTCTTTCAGGGAACTGAAAGAAAAACTTGGGAAAATGCCACATACTCTATACTTCTACTAAAGACCCAGTTTTGCATACTAAAAATTCTCACAGGTTGTAAATAAACCTGCAAAGACATTTGTTTAATACAACTGTTAAGCAAAGTTATAAAAAGATATTCTGCTATCATGACATGTAATAACATCTCATAGAGCTAAAGACTCCAGGTAACACTGAGTTATTGTGTAATTTTTCTTTGGAAGAGAGAAATGGTAAAAGCCTTCATGTCATATGGAAAAGGTTCCTTCTTCTGGCAACTTGTTACATTGGGAGGTCTGGTGATTCATTCATGAAAACCATTTATACCTAGAGCTTTGTAGCAACTAAAGGTCAAGTGGTACAAAGCTGACTATCTCACATGACTATCTCACATGACTATCTCACTGGACATACCAGTATCAGAGACCACTGCCACATATGACCACTGTATCAGCACCAGCATAAAGAATTCTTGTGACTTATTCATGAAGAAAAATAAACAGTTTGCAGAATTATAATATGAGGGATTAATAGAAAAATCATTTTGGCTTACCCTTTTGAATAGGCCATCAATTTATAGTTATCAGTTGTGAAATGAGAATTGTCTATCTATGCAAATGTAGTTACCTGTAAAGTTTCTCTGCATACATAGGCTATTTGCAATTCTGATAATGGTCCAGTAACTAGAAAGAAAAGAGACTACACTGTTATATCTTTAACCTAACAGATTAAAACTCTACTTTCAAAATGGCAAGTTAATACAAAACTTCTGTATATAAGTCATTGAATAACTTCTCCTCTGACCAGGAGCATATTTTACTTTTGTAATCAAGAAAAAAGGGTAACATTGAAAATTTTAATATATACTTTAAAAATAAGAGATTTACTCTTTAACAACTTTGATCAGTCAAAATATGTAACACTACCACGTGCAAAGCTTAGTACTAAGCATCACAGGAAATTCTATAGAAAGCCATGGCATGCTGTCATCCTGAACAATTTTTCAGAAATAAAGCCAAGAAACTGGATAAACACATATAACTAATTACAGTTATACAGACATAGGGAACATATTGAAATATAATGAAAAGCATCATATACTTTCTTAAAGGTCGAGATATTACCTCTTTAGTGTAATTCTTTACCATACTCATCAAGATAGGGAGGCCTGATTCAGTATCTTATCAAAGAATTTAAAAAGTCCTAGATTACTTCAGCAATCAGATCTCTCCTAAACATATAAAATCCTTACTATGCAAGTACCAATCAAAGGCTTTGGAACTATGCCTTTCAGTACCAACAGAAAAAATCTGAGGTGGTGTCTGCTGACAGTGGAATGCAGGTTCTTATGTGAAATCTTTGTATAAAGAGACATTTTATACATATTTTAATCACTAGCTGTCTGTATATACTGATATAGATTCTTAGCAAATAAATAGAATAGGCAAAGTGAAACTACTTTATGAACAGCATCTAATTTATACGTATAGATAATCTTGATTATTTTGCTTTTTAGTATACTATTTATAGGAGTGGATACTTCTTAGATTCAATTTAATTAAATATCAGGTTTTAATAATGAAAAGTAGAATTTTCATTAATAAAATTAATGTTTCAAAACAATTCTCTAAAAGAGAAAGTAGTAAGATTGTACAAATACTTTTGGCTTTTTCAGGTCAGGCAAATTTAACTGGCTAACAACAAAAAAATTAGATTTTATGCAGTATTTCAAGAACAAAAGAATGTAAAAGAGTATATTCAACTATTAATTTCCCTGGTTAACCGGAAATGTCAAACAACAATCATTAAAAGTCAGTGTTGGTTTTAAAATGTAAAGTTAAATTAACAATACCATGGTATATATCTTGAAGTGATCCGCCACCACAATATTCCATACAAATCCACAGTTTTTCTCGACTAACATGAAAGAGAAAGAAAATCATATTAGCTGTTAATTCTCAATCAGCAAAATAAGTACTCTAAGGCTCTCACTGTTAGCATACCTGGGTTCAGGATGCACTGCAGAGTACACAAAAAATCATCATAGCAACCTCTCAATACACAGAACAGCACATCAGTTTGTTTTGTCCCCATCGAAAATGGTTTAGAATACAATCAGTTTTTTAAGCTAAAACACTTGTAATCATTCATGTTTCATTAAGGTAAAGTGTAACCATATAAATGGAGGTGCCATTATTAATGTAATTACTGTATCATCAGGGAAGAAAACTTTAGAAATTTTAGAGCCTTGAACAATGTTAATATTTTAAACGCCTATGTGCAACAGCATTTACATGGCAGAGAGGGAGAGTGGTAGCAAAGAAAATATAAACCACACAGCCAGCAGATCTTTTGGTTTTTACCTGAGATAGCTCCCAAAATAGGCAACGATGTTGCAGTGTTTACATTCTTTAACCATAAATATTTCTTGTTGAATCAGAGAAAAATCATCTCCTGAAAAACAAAATAAATTGGTCATCATGTTAGCCAAAATCTCTGTAAGAAGAAGGAAGGAAAACTTCAATAAATACTAGATACAGATGAGGAATTAAGTATTTCCAACACTTCAATGGGAATGTACACTTGTACATTTTTTCTATAAAGCCTGAACGGTTAAAAATGTACAAATCTTTGAACTCACAGTTGCTTCAAAATGTTTAAAAAAGATAAGCACAGAGACAGATGTTTACTATGGTATGGCTTAAAATGAGAGTGGTTAAACAAATTGTGGTACAGTTATAGATACTCAGCATTCTAAATATGTTTTGATATGAAAATACTTTCATGATCTATTAGCTAAAATATGTTATATATATATTTATATATAAAAATGGCTTCAAAAACATGCAACTGTTATGCCTAGGGGGTAAAATTGGAACTAATTTTGCTTCCTTCTTTTTTGCGTTATTTTCCAATTTGTCTACCACAAACCTGTTTAACTAGAAAAAAATATTAAAATAAAATATTATTGATTTATGAGAATTTTGTGGTAATTATGAGAATAATGCCATCCCCATCAATCTTTCTTACATCAAATTAGTGTTTATTTCAGTAAAATGACTCCACATATATTGTGTAAAGACAGTCTCATGTAGCTGTTAGAGAGCGTGAGTTCTACACACCTGAATTCCAATCTTGGCTCAGGCTTTCACTGGAATTTCAGCAACTTAATCCTTTTGTTCCAGTTTCTTCTGCTGACTAGCTTCTGGATTCATTCTACTACTTAGCTTCCTTACCTACTACTTTTCCAAATATTCCCTATATTTAGTAATATCAAGTTATTGGCTATTTCTGGAATGGATTCTTATGTTCCCATGTTGGTGAATACGTAATTTCCTCAGTTGGAAATGGTATGGGAAAGAGGTATTGTACACAGTGCACATAACACATTTGACAGAATAAGGTCAGTAGTAGTACTACTATATGTTGGAGACTGACAAAGAAATGAAGGTGTTCTTTGTTAGGACATCATTATAAAATCTTTCATTGAATATTGTGCTACAGTGGTCTCTTGAAAAACAACTTCAGGTTTAAAGTCTGTGGTGTTCAGATAGACTCTGGCTATATCTCAGTCATTTTAAAAAATGGTATAGGGCCAAGAAGGACAAACTCTGAAATCAGGCCTTAGATAAACAAAATCTTCACCCAAGCTAGAGGTAGTTCTTTCATACTTTCCAACTGTTGTGATTCAGATCCAAACAATTTTTAAATACTTTTGCCATGTCATAAATACCTTTTAAGGATTCGATCATTATAAATACAGTTTAAATATGTATTTAGTTTAGTTATTATATATCAAAAAAAATTTTTTTTTTTGGTACTGGGTATTGAACTTGCAGGGCAGGTGGTAGAACCACTGAGCTAAATTCCTGGTCCCATATATCAAATTATTTACAGCCATTAAGGAACTCTTTTCAACAGTCATTGCATGTAAACATTAACTGATAATTTGGTTATAGGATTTAGTGATAACAATTTCAAAGGATTCAGGTAACCCAAATGATGAAATTTTCTAATGGAATAAAAGTCTGAGTAAAAAATCTTTTAAGATAATAGCTTTTATTTGTAAATTTGGACAACGTATATTACATATACTGTGTATATACAATGGAACATATAATGGAAAATTTATTGCTTAACGATCTGCTAATAAAAGGATCAATGGAGATAATCCAAACAGAAGATGATCTCATGTTCCTCATTATCACTGTAGGCAGACGCAGTAAGGCCTGAAGGCTGCAGTAAAAGTCTGCCCACCTACATAGAGGGGAAAGCACAGCTACCTGTGCCCACTCACGATCACCAGATTACCATTTATCCTTTTATCTTACCCCTCCATCTGAGCCTTTTCCACTATAGCATTCGCTTTTATTCTTTACACATGCTAATGCCCAACAAACTGGCTATATTTTAGCCTATCCTTCATTTTAACAAGAAGCTCTGAAGCCAGACATGGTGACCTGTGCCCCAGATCTCTGGAGGATGATGTGGGTGGGAGGATGGCTTGAGCCCAGGAGTTTAAGACTAGCCTGGGCTACAGAGTGGCACCTTATATCAAAACCAAACCAAATCTAACTTCTCAATTATAAAGGAAAGAGGAATAAAGAGATAACTTCTTTACTATGTGCTATTCATTGGATTTTCAGTTAATTCTTTGTGTGGAGTTGGTACATGTATATAACACAGCTTCATTCTTTTTTTCATCCCCTTGCTACCCCTCTCCATCTATCTCTTATTCTCCTTCTCCTCTGAGAAGGATCTATCTCCCCACTTCCTATTATTGGGCTGTGATGAGGTGAGCAGCTTTCCTCTACCATGCTATAGTGTTTTTGCAAAGCTAGATGATCATGGACTGAAACCATGAGCCACATCAAACTTTTTCCTCGCCTTAGTCAGCTGTTCCTTGCTGTGACCAAAATACCCTGACATCTACAACCTAAAGGGTGAGAGGTTTATTTTGGGTCATAATTTCAGTACATGGTAGGCAAGCTCAAAGGCAGAAATATGGAGGAAGAAGATGGTAGAGGAAAGCTTCTCACCTCATGGCAGCCACGAAGCAGAGAGAGGGATAGAGCCAGAGAGGATGGTGCCAGGGATAAGCTATACCCTTCAAACGCATCCTCCCAGTGACTTACTTCCACTGCTCCCGTCTCCTAATAGCCTATTTGGTCATAAACTCACGAATGGGTTATCCATTGATAACGTTAGTCCCCTCACAATCCAGCCATCTCACTAGGTGTCTCTTAATCCAATCAACATTGACCATCATGATATACTGCCAGTAAGCCCACTTCTGTGTATATGTCCAAACATTATACTCAGGATCTCAAAGAAGCATGCCCACATTCATAGAAGCACTATTCACAATTGTGTTATTTTTCTCTTGTTGCTGAGACAAAATATTGTGCCTGACACCCAAAGTTAAAAGGGAACGGGTTTATTTAGCACACAGTTTGTAGAGGTTTTAGCCCATAATCAGCTGGCTCCAAGGCAGAGTAGCACATGGCTGGGGGTCGTGGCAAACAGCTCATGGTGCCCACCCCAAAACAAGGTAACTTTCTTTTTGCCCCTTTTATCTTATCCAGACTACTGGGATTATGGCGGTGTCAAACCAATTGGTGTACTGGTTTAGTAATCACATGCCCTTAATCCCAGCATCACATACTCTAGATTCAGTCACCTCTGAAAAATCTACCTATGACCACATGAGGCTTTGGGGAGACATACACACCCCAAACCATAACAACAGTAGTCAAGAGGTAGCAGCAACCTAAATGGGCCTCCATAAATGAATAGATGAATAAAATGTGGTTACACGTACAATGAAAACTATTCAGCCTTAAAAAGGAAACCTATTACATACTACAACATGGATGAACACTGAGGACATTATGCTAAGTGAAGGAATCTAGTCAGAGAAATATAAGCACTGTATGATTCCACTTATATGAAGCACCTACAATAGTAAATTTAGAGACACAAAAATTTGGATCATGGTTACTCTCAACTGTGGAAAAGGGAGTTATTTAATGGATATAGTTTCAACTTTACAAGATGAAAAGATTCTGGAAATCTGTTTTATGACAATATAAATGTACTTAACAAAGCTGAACCATATTCTTATAAAGCTAAGATAGTAAATTTTATGATATGTATTCTTAACTATAATAAAAATTTAAATTATGTAAATATAGCCTAATTTAATGTTTTAATACAGTTTAATGTTAAAGTTAAAAAATATTTTTAAACATACACACATATGTGTATGTGTGTATAGGTATGTTTAAAAAGCTGGGTGTGGTATAGCATATCTGCAATCTAAGCACCTTGGGTGGCTGAGGCAGGAGGACTGTGAGTTTAAGCCCAAGCCAAACAATTTAGTAACTCAGTGAGACTGTCTGAAAATAAAAAATTCAAAAGGGCTAAATATAGGTCAGTGTAGAAATCCTGAGTTCAATCTTTAATACCACAAACAAACAAATAAACCAAACAACAAACAAACAAAAACAATAGTAACCTTAACGTTTCTGTATCATTTATAGGGAAAACTGATTTTAGTAGCAGCTCAATGTACAGCTAATAAATTAGCAGTACCAGTTCCAGAGAATCAATCAATGCAATGCTAAATATTTAACCTGCTAAGTTTTACACATCCATGAAAAAAAACAGTATCACAATGGTGGCACTCTTTTGTGAATTTGATTGTTTTGGTTGATAATAAGGAAACAGAATTTTTTCCACAATGAGAAAAATGAATATAGGATGTTAATAAATAAAATGTCATGTCTAATAAATTTTCTTTGGGATGCTCCTCTTAGATGCTAAAAACTCATCTAGAGTGAAAAATCCTTATCAGTTTTGAATTTACTAATTTAGAATCAGAAACTGAATTATCAGTTTGGAATCTGACACTGAAGGTCATCTTTTTTTTTGTACTACAAAGTAACAAAAGATATCTATTGCAATTTTATTTGTGTTCTAAAGTAAACTGGAAAACAGAGTATCTTGGCTTTACAAGTAAATTATTTTTGTTTGTTTTTTGATGATAGTAGGATTGAGTCTAGGACCTTTGCACTCAGCTACATCCCTACCCCTTTTTAAATATTTTACTTTGAGACAAGGTTTCACTAAATCACTAAGTTGCCCAGGCTGGACTTGAACTCGTGATCCCCCTGCATCGGTATTCCACAGAATGGGGATCACAGTCATATGGCAAAGCCTATTTTTTAACGCACAACATTTCTAGTTAACTACTGTTAGTTTTCTGTATCTATTATTTAAAATCAATAAAAATAACATTTTTGGTATACATTTGTGCCCTTGAATTAATATTTCTCACCTAGACTTGAACTGTCCAGCAAAGATTGGGTACAAATATTTTATTTCATATTCTCAAAAATCGAGATTGTTAAATTTTCAAACAGTTTTTGAAAAGCAGTAACATACTATGTAGT